AATAAATTGCTGAAAGATAAACACCGAACGCAAAGAAAGTATATTTATGGTAAAAAATTATATAAGTACTCCAGGTGTATGTAAAAAGATTGCCCCAAGTTCAAAGGTCCGTATAGAGTTTGCAAACTACTTCCTAATTACAGATATTTACTAAGAGATGACGAGGGATTAAAAGGTATAATTATAAATAAAAGGGGGTGCCAGTAATATATGCGGCCATATTGTGAACAAAGTAAGGCTTTCCAGAGGAATATACAGAAGATACATTTCCACAATTCCTTTATAATTTTTTAATTTATCAGCTGTCTGCAGCTACGATGTGGAGTCTATTCGCTGTTGATATGAAGTATGCATTAGAAGAACACGAACAGCATCGCCTTTGTAAATCATCGGCATATATGAATCTACATTTTCGCGTAAAATGGCTCTACAGTAATTATGTTAAAGAGGTGCCACCATATAAGGGTGCAGTTCCCGAATATCCAGCCTGGTTTGAGCCTTTCGTCATGCAATGGTTAAACGAAAATGATGACGTGTCCTTAGAATATTTGCATGGTGCATTCAACCGTGATAAGAAAGATGGGGTGAATAAAAAAATTAACGAAAAATACATATTCATCTTAATAATTACTTTGTTTCTAATTACAGTTCCAAAAGAGCAGCGAGCATGCGTTATTTTCCAACTCAGTTGTTGATGTATTTACACAATTAACACAATGTTTCGATGTTGTTAGCAAACTCGAATGTCCGGATCCAGAAATCTGGAAGCGTTACATGAGGCGTTTTGCTAAAACAATCGTAAAAGTACTGATTGCATATGCCGATATCGTCAAGAAAGAGTTTCCTGATCATATGAAAGATGAAAGAATTGTAGGTAAAACTGGTCTATGAATACTATTAAATTAAGTAATAAGAATATTTAACAGGCATGCATACTCATGAATAATATACAGCAACTGAGAGTTCAATTAGAAAAAATGTTCGAATCAATGGGTGGAGATAAGCTAGAAGAAGATGCTGCTAATATACTAAAAGAATTACAGCAGAACCTAAATATGGCTTTAGATGACTTGGCATCACAGTTTGCTGTCAGGTAAGTAAGTGGTTATATTGATCCTTATGTTATTCAAAAATTTAACATTTGGAATAAATATTAATTATAGTGAAATTAAAAATGCCATATTGGATAATATTTCACAAGTTCATTACACATTTAACCTTTTCTCTTTCTTTTAGTGTGCGTGTTTTTTTTTTTTTTTTTGTTTTATATCCAAGTCCTACTTTATTTTCTCTTTGTTCATTAATTCTTACATTTTCCTCTGTTACAGCCTTGAGCCACGTATAACACAGTCCGTTCGAGAGTTAGGAGATCTACTACTTTCTGTTAAAGGAGGTAATAATATGAATTTCAATCAAACTGCACAAGGAAATGTTGTTGCAGTTGAAGCTGATGAGGTCCTCCGACCACTGATGGATTTGCTGGATGGTTCATTAACACTTTACGCTCAATCCTGCGAAAAAACTGTACTTAAACGGTTGCTCAAAGAGTTATGGAAAATTGTTATGCGTATATTAGAGAAGACGATCGTGTTACCTCCAATGACTGATAAAAGCGTGAGCTCAAATCAAAATGTGATATATTATTATCGATTGTACCTAAATCATATTTTACATTTACAGATGATGTTTAAACATCTAACGGATAATGCCAAGAACCTTGCTTCGAATGCTAAAATTGAAGATATGGGAAGATTGTTCAAAAGTCATATGTCTGGCAAACAAGATGTTAAGAGTGCTCTTAGCGGTGTTATGGATATTTCCAAGGAGGTCGAAAAAAATTTGTCACCTAAACAATGTGCTGTATTAGATGTTGCCTTAGATACCATCAAGCAATATTTCCATGCTGCTGGTAATGGACTGAAAAAAACATTCCTTGAGAAGTCGCCAGAATTACAAAGTTTACGATACGCTTTAAGCTTATACACCCAAATGACAGATACACTTATCAAAACTTTTATCTCCAGTCAAGTACATGAAAGTTAGTAAATATTTTTAAATTAGCGTAAAAGTACATTTGTACATACAAGTACATTTAAATGTCACTTGAGGAATAAAAAAACAATAAATGAATTTGTGTTCTTTACTACTTTTTCCAGTTGATCCGGAAAATCAAGAGGAAAGTGTTGGTGAAATATCAGTACAAATTGATCTTTTCTCTCATCCCGGTACTGGCGAGCACAAAGTTAATGTAAAAGGTAAAAAAAGAATGCAAGTAATAAAAAAAAATGTAGCACGAAAACACAATAAATTTATGAAAATATACTTAAATATAAAGATAATCGTATAAATATAGAGATAAGCCTTATGCGTTCATTCATTCATTATTTCCAGTTGTCGCTGCAAACGATATAAAATGGCAAATAGCGTCAGGAATGTTTCGTCCATTTATTGAAATTAATTTGATCGGACCACATTTACAGGATAGGAAACGAAAATTTGCAACAAAGTCCAAGTCGAACAATTGGTCGCCAAAATATAATGAAACATTTAATTTGTAAGAACTAATTTATATATTTTCAACTATTTATTTTATATGTATAAAACTCATATTTAACCCTGATATACGCAGCACGATTGGCAACGAGGAGCAGTTGGAGTTTTTTGAATTGCATATCTGTGTTAAAGACTACTGCTTTGCTAGAGAAGATCGCTTAGTTGGTGTTGCAGTTATACCATTAAAAGACATATCGGAAAAGGTAAAAATTTGATATTCTATTTAATTTCTTTGCAAGGTTTAAAACTTTGCAAATACAATTCTTTGACAATATTTTATAAATAATATTTTTACACATTTCTGCAATTACATTGTTGTACTAACTATTTTTACTGCAATAGGTTTAGTTAGAACCAATTGTAAAGTTTTTCTGCTCTCTCACCATGTATAAAAACTTTCTTCACCTAACGGTTGTTTGTCACACCTAAAACCAATCGATTATTATTTTTTCAGGACCAACATTTTTTAGTATAAAGTTGTCCCAATAATTGAAAGTATGCTCCCGGGTTTATCCTTATAAGTTGTGAAAGTACAAAGTCTTCATTCCACACGAACTCTTCTTGCTAACTTGCTAATTTATAGACACTAAGGAAAACATCTGTAGTTAACTTATTAAACTGATAGTTTTGATCAATTATGTTTCGTTTTAAAACTTTCAGGGTTCGGTTGCTTGTTGGCTACCCCTGCAACGTCGTATACAGATGGATGAGACGGGTTGGACGATTTTACGCATTTTATCACAACGTAATAATGACGAAGTCGCCAAAGAGTTTGTGAAACTTAAATCAGAAATACGTCAGGAACCTCTAGTTGGGACATAACTCAGTTAGAATAACCAGAAAACTAATTAAAATAAATCTTTATTTAATTATGTAAGCTGAAGGATAGCATTCAATGTAAAAAATATTAATTATTGTACATGCATATGCATAATTATAAAAATAAATAGTATGAAATAATTGCTGCAAATAAAAACCAAGCATTATATAATAACTTAAAAAATAATAAATGACTTGTAGTGTCTGCCTATTTACAAATTATTACTTACTAACTCTACCCGCGGCTTCGCTCGTATTGAAAAGCTTAACCAAATTATCAAAGGTCATTAACAAATAACTAAATACATAGTGTGTACACGAAAACCATACCGCGCTGATCCTCTGATCCGTTTTGGTGGTGGCAATCACAAAAACACAATTTTGCCTAATATAAAACATTTACGCATTTTTGTTTTGTTATATTTTAAATTTAATTTTTTTTTTTTTAACAATCATATCTGCAATACTAAAACTTATTATCCCCAAAAATAGATTTTTGTTGTTAACAGTAAGTATCATATGTATTTTTTAATACCATTGGAGTATTTGTATATAGGCTTTCTGCGAGAATGCGTAACAAAACAACTAACATTCACATACAAGAAGCGTTCCAAAGTAAAGAGGACATAAAAAACACAGAACAAATTGTTTTTTCGGCAAAATCAATTTATTTTATTCAAAATAGTCTCCTTCTGCTTCAATACAGCTTTTAGCTCGTTGGCCGTTATAGCCGCCAGTATGCCGGTGAAAACTTTTTGAATGTCCTCTACGTCTGGATAACGCTTTCCTTTCATGGGAAAATGTATTTTTCCGAAAAGGAAGAAGTCGCACGGTCCGCATCAGGTGAATATGGGGAGTGGTTAATGGTTAAAATGTGATTTTTGGTCAAATAATCGATCACAATTATGTCCTTCGAACCTATGGGTTCTGGATTTTTTGGTCGTCAGTCAATTTGTGCGAAATAAACCATGCTCACACCTTTCGTAAGCCCAAATTTTCGGTCAAGATGCGATAAATCGATGTTTTGGATACGTTCAATTCTATTTCCATGAATTTCAATGATGACTTCGGCTGATTTTTGATGAATTCACGCACAGTTTCGATGGGATTTCCGGTGATCACGGATTTTGATTGGCCCACTTGTTGATCGTCATTTATGTCCTCACGACCACTTTGAAAACGTTGAAACCTCTAGTGCACTCTACTACGGGATAGGCAATCATCGACATAAACTTGTTTCATCAATTGAAACGTCTCAGTAAAAGTTTTACCAATTTTAAAACAAAATATAATGTTTGTTCTTTGTTCGAAGCTCATTTTCGCACCGATAACACAAACATACTAACACTCAAAACGCAATAACTTCACTTCCAATCAATGAAACGTCATGAAATTCTCACTGGGCAATCGATAAAGATAACAGATTTTAACGCACCAGTCGACATATAGATGGAGCGACCAAGGGGCGTCTGTTTACTTTGGACCGCATGTATGTAAATAATATTTAAAAAAGGGATTGTAAAGTATTAGATATAAATTAATCCTCAGCTCTATGTGCTGTTGTTCAGGGTCTGTTTAAATTAATTCTCAGCACTATGTGCTGTTGTTAAATTTTGGATTACAACTGAAACTTAAAAATAGAAGCCCTGCCTGATTTCCCTACACTTGGTACGATTTTGGTATTACTGCTGCTACTGCACCTGATACTGGTGTTGTTGTTTAACTACACCTTCTGGTGTTATTGTTGTTTAGACAACAGGTGAAACGCTGCTATCGCGCTGATATTTTTGTAGCGAAGAGTTTTCCAGTTAATGAGAAAATGCTGACGCGGACTATTCCCGCGCTTCCAGGCTGGCGTGGAGTAGTACTAAAAATGATACAGTGGGCAGACTAATGTGTAAACTTATATGCTAGAGGGGTTTGGGCACAAGGCGGACAACCTGGTTCCACAAAAGAGTCTCTGTCACTGAAGTTTTAACTAATCCTCGGATAAATAACTCACAACGACAATGCCCTGTCAAGTGTGTAAAGAAAAATAATATAAAGCTATATATAATATATGGAATGTGCGATCCTTATACCAAACCATAGCCCTACAACTTTCAGCAAAGGCAGTGGGACAGTAAAAAGCTTGAAAGAACCATTCATAATGATAAAAATAGAGAATGTACCAAACACTGTGTAACTGTCAGAATTGTAAAATACCTTCGCTGACTTTACCAACGATTGTCTGAAGTCTATAGGTTTTGATCATATTAATCGCAAAAAAACATATCATTATTTCAAGGTAATTTATATTTTTAAATGATTAGTTTGGTAATTGTAAGGCATTAGGTTAGCTTTTTAGAATTAGTTGGATAATCAACTTTTTTGGTCGAACAGAGGTTCAAGTGCCCGACATTGAAGAAGTTCGAATAGCAATTACCCAGCTAAATAACAACAAAGCGGCGGATTGTCACCGGTGGATTGGCGGCCGAGCTATTCAAACACTTCGGCGAAGAACTGATAAGGAGCATACATCAGCTTCTTTGTAAAATATGGTGTAACGAGAGCATCCATAATGATTGCAGTTTAAGTGTGCTCTGCTCTACATCCACAAAAAGGGAGACTCCACAATCTGCGGCAACTACCGTGGAATAGGTCTCCTCAACATCGCGTTAGAGCCTTATATGAAGTATTGTGTGAATGACTAAAGCCCACCGTCAACAAAATGATTGCACCTTATCAGTGTGGCTTTCGACCTGGCAAACCAACGACCGACCATATATTCACCATGCGGCAAGTCTTGGAAAATAACCATGAAAAGATAATCGACACTCACCACCTCTTTGTCGATTTTAAAGCCACTGCACAAAACGGAGCTGCCTTTATGGCGCGATGTCTGAGTTTGGTATCCCCGCAAAACTAATACGGCTATGTAAACTGAAGTCGAGCAACAGCAAAGTTTCTATCTTCTATAAGAGTGCACAACTGCTGGCGTACGCCGATGACATCGGCCTTAACAACCGCGCCTTTAGTTCTGATTTCTTCAGTTTTGATAATGAAGCGAAGCAAATGGGTCTTGTAGTGAACGATGGCAAGACGAAATATCTCCTGTYATCAAACAAACAGTGGTCGCACTCGCAACTAAGCTCTCATGCCACTGTTTTAAGTCATAACAGCATTCGAAAATTTCGTCTATCTTGGAACCAGTATAAACACCAATATTAACATCAGCCTGCACATGTAACGCATCTTGCCAACAGATGCTACTTCGGACTAAGTAGGCAATTGAGAAATGAAGACCTTTCTCGACGAACAAAAACAAAACTCTATAAGTCACTCAATATTCACGTCCTGTTATTTGATGCAGAGGCATGGACAATGACAACAACTGATGAGTTGACGTTGCGAGTTTTCGAGAGAAAAGTTCTACGAAAGATTTCTGGTCCTTTGCGCATTGGCGACGGTGAATATCGTATTCGATCCTACGATGAGCTATATGAGATATACGACGACATTGACATAGATCAGCGAATTAAAAGACAGCGGCTACGCTGGCTAGGCCATGTCGTCCGAATGGACGAAAACACTCCAGTTCTGAAGAGGAAGAGGAAGACCTCCACTCCCTTGAAAGAACTAGGTGGCGAAGAACCTTGTTTCGCGTGGAATCTGCGAAAGTAAAGAAGAAGAAGAACTTAATTTTTTCCTATTTTTATAATATCAATCACTGAGTACTTACATAATAATATTATAGATCATTCAGATAATTCTCCTGGGAATAGTTTCGTCTGAGTTGCTCCTATCCGTATTTGGCGGCAATTCATCCTCAGCTCTCTGTGATATTGTTAAGGTTTTGTATATTATTAAAACCAAGTTAATTTTTTTTTGTAATATAATTTTTTTATTCAGCACTATTTTCTGTTGTTAAACTCTAAATTACAACTTTTATAATATGAAATGTTTATTCAGCACTATGTGCTGTTGTTAAAGTCTGGATTACAACTGAAACTTAAAAATAGAATCCCTGCCTAATTTCCCCACACTTGGCACTCAATAGTGTTTGTCGGATTTTAAAATTTAAATCAACGAATTTGTGTTAAATTTTGGCCAAACACTGATATGGTCCCTAATGACTGCTACTTTTCTCCACACTGAAATACCCACTTCGGGGAACACTCTACGACTCAATTGAAGATATCAATACAAGTTCGATGTGCGAACTGAAGGCCATCCCGGAAAGCGCCTATAAAAAATGTTTTGACGATTGGAAGAAGCGTTGCCGCATGTGCATCGCTTCAAATGGATGTTACTTTCAAGGCGATAAAATAAATTTAAAGATTATGGAAATTTTCGTTTTATTTATGAATTCCCGATACTTTATATTCGTAATATTTATTTTGAAGCGAATCTGACTATGAATAATCTGACTATGATAAATTATATTGAAGACCTTAAAATACGGGAAAACATACGGCTGTGCAAATAACAGCTGGTTCGCACACTGCGCCGCCACTCCAACCAAGTGATAAAATAAATAAATTCGCTTACGTAACTCGTATAAGAACTCTAGCGACAGTCTGAAAATGAATGAAATCAGATTGTAACTCTGCCCACTCCCCATATAACGGTACTGTTAAGAATTACTAAAAATACGATAAATCGATAACAAAATACGCGAGAGACATGACACCTTCTTCTTTTATTGATATCACATATCTCAAAACTTGCTCGATTGATTTCAATCATTTTAAATTTCATGTCATTCCTTCACTTTCAATTATACAAATCAAGAAGCAATCAGGGCCAGCATGAGAAAATGTATCGTCCTAGACAAATGATCAATTTTGCGTTCTCTCTAATCCTATTTGACATTAGCAACAAAATTTGTAATTAATTAATTTATAATAACTCCTGGTAATTATAAAGGTCATTTTGTAAAAAGAAAACAAAAAACAAAAACAGGAAGCAACCCAAGGATCAACCCAACTTTTTTTGGTATTACGAGGTTCAACAGTTGTACAGAACACACTCTTCAAAATGCTTCTGTACTGTGAAAGTTCACGTTTGACTCTAATCTTCTTTATTAAAATTTTATTCCTCAATACATTTCT